GGCCATAGACCGTCTAGCATGCACCNGGTTCGGAATCACGCCACGCCGCCCCGACTTGGGAGCCCGCACCGAGATTGATACAGTTGAGAATGGCACAGACACGGGCCTCCTGCACCTCATCGAAGGAGGCTGAGGCATTATAAAGGCGATCGAAGTAGTCCGTCCACTCCGACACGTCTTCCACATTGCATCTGGCCGCTGGCTTACCGTTCAGACGTTGCCATAGGGTCTTCGCATCCCGTTTGCATGTAGCTATGAATGACTCCAAGGCTCGCAGCCGGTGATCCCGTCGCGCGTTACGCTTAGCACGATTAAACTGACGACGTAACTCTTGAAAACTCGTATGCCCCATAGCCGGGGCAGCACACCCCCACTTCATCACATCAGACCGATACTGCAACATGGCCTGCTTAGCCGCAGCACACTCATCATTCCACCACGCCGCCTTGCCGTTAGAAACCGGCCCGGGCCTGAAGGCATCACCGAAGCAACCCAGCAAAATCCGTTCGATAGTGTCCACCGCCTGGGTGACACCAATCTGGCCAGCACGCAGGGAATCCACAACCGCCCGGACACCAAGGGTCAGGGTGTCGAATTGGCCTGTCCGGGTGCCGAATTGGCCTAACAGGGTATTGAATTAGCCTGACAGGGTATCGAATTGACCTGTTCGGGGTGTCAAATTGGCCTGACAGGGTATCGAATTAGCCTGACAGGGTGTCGAATTGGCTGTCAAGTTGGCAGGATTGGCTGGGGCTGGCATCCAAAAGCACATGACCTTTAAGGAATTTACAGAAAAACTTTGCAAGAGGACCGCTTACAAGTGCCTCATGTGCGTATTAGTTTCGATCCCACAACAACTTGCACACCTGGTTACCGTACTCTGGCACTACTACTACTACCGGAGGCAAGCACTCAGGGCCACGACTGCATTACCCAGTCAAGTCAGCCGCCGAGGTCCCACTGTTTTCCCACCACACTTCATCGGCAGTTCGTCCAGTTTATCCCACAACACTCGTATGCATGAATAGGTTCGGGTGGAAACAATGACAAATCTCTGATACACCGCTAAACTCAGTACCACGAGCTACATTGAAAACAAATGAAAATGCAGATGTCTGCCGAGAAGAATATGTTCGCCATATGCAATCTATGCCTTAATCCATCGAGCTCTCCGTTGGGCGGGGCATGGCCCATGAAGTCGCCCCCGGTATTCCGCCCATGCAACCAAACACTGACACAAAACGTTGCACGCCTGGGCCCATGTAAACCACGACACTTCCGTGTGGATTGGCTACCCGCGCTCCCCATGTCAGGGGTCCTCCCTCCTGCTGTTGATTCCCGGATTGCCCACGCACAAACGCCAAACGTTGGCGCAGAAAACAGACAGGCCATTGTAGTATGGCATCAAACCACGCATAACCCACAGCGGCTTTCAGCAGCAGTACTGCTTGGTGAATGCGACCGGCCGTGTACTGCCAGTCTTAGCACCGATGAACCACCCCTGATGCCGCCGCTGACGCAGCAGGCATATGGGTCTACACCGCCGAGCTCTGACCAGTTTGTTTTGAACTCGCCTACACAGGGTTGTAAAACAAGGGGGGCATTTCTGTTGTCATATGGTATGATGTTTCATAGACGTCGGTATGCATAACATTATGCAATTGGGTGGGTGGGGTGAGGTGGGTTCCTCCTTTCTAGGTTGCCCACTCTTCCCTGCCACACATCTCACGTCGCCACTTACCAGTAGCACCACGCGACTTGACGCGGGGTGGCACATCCTCTGCTTCGGTGATGGCGGCTGGTGCACTCATCGGGACCACAGTTCCGCCGCGTCCTCGACGGTGCAAGTCTCCGCGTCCCTGTGTCCCTGATCCTCCACGGCCCCCTCCGATGCCGTTTTGATCTTGAACAAGAGGGATTTCGCGTCCGAGACGGTAAGGCCCGGTACATTCCCTCTCAGTGCCATGGCGGCGCGAAGCGGGGAGAGCTGGAAATCCTCTGCAATGAAGGACACATTAGGGTTCTTAGGGTTCTTTCAAAACACCGTTCGCAAAGTTTCCGGTTGTTCTCGGCACGGCACGGGGACATCGCCGCCCCACGTCTCTGGCACGGACTCGCGCTTTTCTCTCTGTGATCAATCTCTCACCTCAGAACAGTTCCCATGCTTCACCAACGGAGTAGACGCCGAGATCTTCTTCGAATTGACGACGCACAGCATCCACCCGTTCATCGTCCCCGTCCAGCACATCGTGGAGACACGTCGCGAGAGCCGCGACATCAGACTATAGACGCAGCAGAGAATTAAATAAACCCCGAGTGAAGGCGAATGGCTGCAAGTGCACCATGGCGCATTTGCATGGTTGGAAGCCACAAAGCATGAAAAGACATACCGCGTCATTTGGACTTCGTGTCAGCTGGTCTCGAGGGTCTCCATCTTCCGCAGTGTCCTCCAGGGCGACATCTATAGCGGCCATTTACTCGCCACTCCTACCCGAAAGTAACCTATCTTCTATGTAATCAACGCTAAACGCTGAAG